CAGATTCACTTGGAGGGCTTGTTAAACACAGTTTACTGGGACCAGTGCCCAGTGGTCTGAAGTCTGGGGTGGGGCCCGAGAATTTGCATTTATAATAAATTCCCAGGTGATGCTGATGTTGCTCATCTGGGGACTATACTTTGAGAATCATTGGTTTAGAGTTTGGTTTTTAATGTCAGATGGATCCAAACATACATTCTTGTGCTGCTAAGAAGTAGTCGTGTGGCTCTGGGAAAATCACTTTCCTGCCTGATTCTTAGTTTCTTCATCTGTAAAATGGAGATAATGATCCTTTCTCACAGAGTGCCCATAGTATTTCAGTGAGACAAGGGTAATGTACTCAGCACAGTGCCTGCTACAAAGCTGGGGCTCACTCTCTGTGATTCATCCATCTCTTCTTTCTCTGCATCATCAATGAACTTTGGTGCTGAGAGGAATCTGGAAAATCACCTGCTCCAATGTTTATATATGAAAAATCCAATTCCTCAGTAAGTTAAGTGGCCTTCTCCAGATCAGACACCCAGCTTGTCGTAGAACTAGAATTAGAATCCACTTAGCTTGAACCTTAATTTCGTATTCTTGATAACATTTAATTTGCTACATCTAAAGAGGGGTATGACATATGTGAATGAAAAAGTCCATTAAATGTGGAAGGACAGTGTCTACTGTGATGTTGAATAGTGCATCATGTCAGAATCTAAAACATGAGATGTTTAGGTAAAGGTAGAATGGAATCTATTTGCTGAGACAGTGAAATGAGGTGGAAATAGCATGATGAGATGTACATTCCATTGCAAAAAGGTGTGATGAGGGGCTGTATTGTGGGGAGATAACTGCTCGAGGAGAAGCTAAGGGTGATGGGACAACTTAATGTCAGTAGCAAAGCCTTTTGGTATAGCAGGGCAGGGAGGGACAGCAGTTTGGCTCTGACTGCAACATCGGTCCCTTCTTCTACCCATAGAGGAAGCTGTTTGCTTATTAAAGATGGAGACAAGGGTGCGTAGATCTTTACCAATTATCGTTTTGGTTTCTTTGGATAAAAATCCAGAAGTGCAATTGCTGGGTATATTCATGGCAGCACAATTTACAATAGCCAAGATAGGGAAGCAACCTAAATACCCATCAACAGATGATTGGATAAAGAAGTTATGGTTCATATATACAATGGAATATTACTCAGCCATTAAAAAAAAATGAAATCCTACCATTTGCAATGACATGGATATACCTAGAGATTATTGTGCTGAGTGAAATAAGTCAGACAGAGAAAGAGAAATACCATATCAGTTCACTTATATGAGGAATCTAAGGAACAAAAAGAATAAACTAATAAAAAACAGACTCACAAATATAGAGGATAATCTGGTGATGGCCAGAGGAGAGGGAGGTTGGGCTGCTGGGAGAAAGGGGCGAAGGGTTAAGGAAGTACAAATCAGTAGTTGATAGATGGTCATAGGGATGGAGAGCATGGCACAGGGAATGCAGTCAGCGTTAATGTAATGGCTAGCTGTAGAGCCAGCGGAGAGAAAGAGCAATCAGGGGGATCATTGAATAAACTACATAAATGTCTAACCAACGTAACTATATACTTGAAACTAATAATAAAATAAAATTTAAAAAAATTAAAAAAAAATATGGAGGACAAGAGGGCCAGTTGCTAGGGGCTTCACCTGCCTTCCCTCCTGGATCCCGGCCACCTCCTAGAGGCCCTCTCACCAGCTTTACCGGCCTCCTGGGAGTCTCATTCTTTATTCCGGTGTTTGTCATGGGAGGCTATGATATTCTGGAAAGAGCTTAGATTTGGAATCAGAAGATTTGTTTTTGTGTCCTGCCTCTTACTCTTGTGTGCTTCTGGGAAATTGTTTAACCTTTTGAAACTTCATTGAAATAACAAAACACATGTATATGAAAGGCTATTTGTAAACCATAAAACTCCACACAGTTATAGGTCAGGTTGGTCCTGGCCACTGATATTAAAATTATTTATCTCTAAGCATAGAAAGGTAGTGGTAGAGGCACACATTCATAAATAATCCACCCTTTTGTAGAATAGAGTGGTCGCTGGACGTGCCTGCAACCTGGACTACATTTCCCAGTCTCCTTTGCATGTGGGTGAGTTGAAGCTTTTACTAATGGAACATGAACAAAAGTGATAAGTATCACTTCAGAAGCAAGGCAGTTACAAGTGTGTGCCTTCTTTGATTTTCTTCCCACCTGAGTGTGGATGAAGAGGACTCCAAGGTCTCAGAGAGTGGCAGAACCACAAAATGGAAGGAAACCGAGCTTCTGAATCACGATGTGGAAGAAAGCCACCTGCCGACGGGAAACATCCTCACTGGATTATTACATGGGTGAGAAACAAACTTTCCTTTTGCTAAGCCATGGAGATACTATTTATTCCAGCGGCTAACCTTACTCCAAGCGATAAATGAGACAGGGGGCTGGGAAGGTTGTAGCTCAGTCAGTAAAAAGTGCCACAAATGAACATGTGCACGATGGCTGGCGAGGTCTTTTTAACACTAATGCACAGGCCAGAGGGCCAAGAAATTGCAAAAGGACTTCTTCAGTGTTGTCTGATGAGGTTGACAGGCAGTTTGATCACACACACACACACACACACACACACACACACACACACCCATGCCACTTTTGTATATATATTCTAGAATCCCAGTGTTAAAGCCAGAAGTAATGGGCTTCAGAGGCCACCTATTAAAACCTTATTTGTAGTTTAGGAAACTGATCCAGAGAGGAGCTGGACCGGCTCAAGGACACAGAACTAGTCAGTGGTGGCATCTAGATTAGGACACAGTTCCTGTCTTCAACCCTCTTTCTTATTCTCTGTGGTTCATCCCGGCTTCTCTTTTGACAAAAACCTAATATTTGAATAACGCAGAAATGACTTAAAATGGGAGGACATATGGGTACAAACGGACTTCATGATTTTGTATCTACTGTTTAATCGGCTGAAGGGCATTTTTCATTTTCAACTTAGTGGCTGGCAAAAAACTCAACAAGCTTTTTAGCCAAACCCTTCTCCCTGCCTGCTTTTTGGTGTTGTTTTGTGCCTATTGAACTCTATGCTCCAGCCATGCAACTGCTGTTAGTCCACGACTATGCCACATCTTGTTTCTCTCCGCCACATGCCTTTGAGCACGCTGTTGCTTTTTGTCTGTCCTTCAGGGTAAATCACGATTTATTCTTCCTTTAAGACCCTTCTTAAATGTTACATTCTCCTTGACGTCTTTCCCAGTTCCAGGCTGTTAGCCTTTCTTTCCTTTGTGTTCCCATGGTTTATGCCTCTCAGAGTGCTCATGACATAGAACTCTAATTATTATTTGCACCTTGGTGGCCCAACACTTAGCTTTCAGAGAGAGCAACAGAATATACAGTGTGCTTGCCACCCTCCCCTCCTTACCTGAGTTGTTTGAACCAGGAGTGGACACCTGACACAAAGTAAGCAGTCCACAGGCACCCCAACCACCATGACACAGCCTTCTACAAAGGATTCCACCTTTTAGGAATGGCCCTTTAAGGATGGAAAATTGACCCCATTCTCCTCATTCAGAATTTGCACTCAGGCCAAAAAAGGGGATGTTCAAGTTAGTGGTGTGGGGAATGGAGCTCTGAGGTCTTGACATAGCATCAGGGCTGGTTGCTGTGCTGGACCAGGTATAAGACAAGCAAAGCAGAGGAAGCACCTTGGAAGGGAGAGGAAGGGGAAAAGGCCCAGAGGGAGAAGGAAGCAAGGACGGGGGACGCTACATGGTTTGGGGAGGTGGAGAGTGGCCTTAGTTCCTGAGGGTTTTCAGGTTCCTGTGGGCTGCTCTGCCTCTTGTCTTCGGTTCCAGAGATCCCCCGCCAGGCCTTGCAGTACAGCCTCCCTCCATTTCTTGAACTAGTTTAATGAGTTTCTGTTTCTCGTAACAACAAGAGCCTTGGTTAAAAGCAGTTTACCTCTCCCGCTGGACTGTTAGTTTCTCGAGGTTAGAAATTTTATCTTACTCTTCCTGTATCACTAGAATGTAGCTCAATGCATAGAGGTGTTCAAATTACATTTGTTGAATGAATGATCACTAAACAAATGAACGAATATGCCTATTGGTCATAGATACAGGGTACTGTTTGCCTAGCTGGAATTCTGCCCCAGTATGCCTTTCTAGTACAAAAACCTCTCTTTTCTTTAATCATCGCAGCTCTATTGCTTATGTCCTTCAGTGCCTTAAAGTCCAGATTTTGACAATTTCAGGAGTTTCCCTGAAGTACCTTCTGCTTTAAAAATACTGGTTCTGGCGCACTGGCATCTCAGGAGACAATAGCTACAAATAGGAGATACAAATACGAGACAACACCTTCGCCTCAACCGCATCTGCTCCAGAAGAAACCCGAGGTGGCCCCTGGACCTTCTCCTGAAGAAACATGGGCAGAAGCAAGCTGTATTTAGAGAGATATAAGTATAGCTTTATTTTTTTTTAAAAACCAACCCAACATTTCCACTGGCAACTGTCAACATATCTTATGACATGAGCACTGTTTCTTTTTTAGTTATTTTTTTCTTATAAAAGGTGTTTAAAACTAAACAGGTGTTTTTTTAATTTCTTTTTTTTTCCCCCTTAAAAAATTCACTTATGTCAATGCAGAAAGCCTGAAGATCTGTGGGCAGTTTTGTGGTGATTTCACATGTGTGTTGTGTGTGTGTGTGTCGTGTGTGTGTGTGTGTGTGTGTGTGTGTGTGTGTGTTTTAAAGCCAGGTCCCTTCAAAATTTGTTGGGAAAAGGTCTGTAGGGCATGATCATCTTTTTCTATAAACCCAAGTTCCATGGGATTATGGCAACTAAAATTCCTCCTACTGGGGC